ATCAAGCGGTCGGAAGAACCGGGTAGAAAAATGAAGTAGGAATGCGTAGAACGTACATTGGATTTCCGCCGGCCCCCTACAGAGGAATAAAAAGGGGAAGCCAATCGATCAATGAAAGAGAAAGGCGCCTGACGTCGATTGGGAGACGGGCACCTGATACTACAGATGGTCAACGACCGCTGCGTACGACGAGGGCATTGGACACGGAAATTTTGAACAAGTAGTCCAAGAACTGGAAGACGATGGAGACCCAACCGTGGATTGGCCATGGATGTTGCCGCCGCCCTCATCAGCTCAAAAATCCTCCAAGATTTGACGCTTCCTGGGCGCTTTCCTGAACAAGCGCCTACATCGTAAATGTAAAAAGGGACCACAGAGAAGCCGCACAGAACGGGGAACAGGGGAGCCCGAGACGGCACACTCCAAAAGCCGTTTCGCCGAAAATGTACCAGCAATATATTCAGGAATCGTGTTCTCGCCTCGATGACGGCGGCAGTGTTGGCCCAAGCGGCCACGATCCGTTTCGAATAACACAGTGGCGTACCCAGCCCGTGTGCATCACGTGGCAAAAGGAATTGGCCTACGATTGCCAAGACAATGACAGCGCATGCGCCGTTACATGTTGTGCAAGCTACATGGGATGCGCTCACATGGCACGATCCACAAGGCCACAACACAAGGACGAGGAGCGAGGGCCCAGGCTTGAGGAGGACATGGGGGGCGGGAGCGACGAGCATGAAAAGGACGCGTGGGGGGCCGAACCGTCAGCGCGGCAGCACCCATGACGGTGGCAGGGGGCAAAAGACGACCACAAAAGTGACGGGAGAAGACCGAATATTGTTGCTTTTGTCGGTGGCACGCTAAAGACGCAACGCTGCTTGCGTCATGTCGCCGCGGCGCTCGAAACAAATGATTAAACCTGCGTGTAATTAGTGCAAGAAACGAGCGAAGCCTAGCTTGCCCGCCAGCTTCGTAGCTCCCCAAAGGTGGCGAAGTCTCCTTGTGGCCAGCGTAAGACGTCCCCCCGCTGGACCCCCCAGAAACCCTCGGAAGTGGCGACCGTTTCGCAGATCGCAGCCTCCCATAGATGGCGAGGTCCCACCTGATTCTGGGAATCTGGGTAAGACGTCACTCCGCTGGACCCCCAACGCAGATCGCAGCCACCCAGGGATGGCGAGGTCACATCTAAATCTGGGTCAGACGGCGCACCGCTGGACCCCCCAGGATGGCCAGGTCTCATTTGAATATGGGTAGGACGTCGCTCTGCTGGACCCCCCAACAGCCCTCGAAAGTGGCAATCGTTTCGCAGATCGCCCCCACCCCCCCCACGAGGTCCCATTTGAATATGGGTAGGACGTCACTCCGCTGGACCCCTGAGCAGCCCTCGAAATTGGCGTCCGTTTCGTAGATCGCACCCCCCAGGGATGCCGAGGTTTCTGTTGAATCTGGGTAGGGCGCCACCCGCTGAACCACCCAGCAGCCCTCGAAACAGGCGACCGTTTCGCAGCTCGCAGCCCCCACAAGGATGGCCGAATCTCATGCGAGTCTGGGTCGGACGTCACTCCGCTGGACCCCCAACAACCCTCGGAAAACGGCGACTGTTTCGCAGACCGCAGCCACGGATGGCCAGGTCTCATTTGAATGTGGGTGGGACGTCACTCCGCTGGACCCCCCAGCAGCCCACGAAAGTGGCGCCAGTTTCGCAGATCGCACCCTTCCAGGGATGACGAGGTCTCATTTGAATGTGGGTAGGACGTCAATCCGCTGGACCCCCTCTAGCCCCCGAAAGTGGCGACAGTTTTGCAGATCGCACCCCACCCCCCAAGGATGGCGAGGTATCACCTGGATCTGGGTAGGACGTCACCCCGCTGGACCCCCGAGCCGCCCTCGAAAGCGCAAATCGCAGCTCCCCAAGGATGGCCAGGTTTCACTTGAATCTCGGAAAAGGCGTGACTGCGCTGGACCCTCCAGCAGCCCTTTAAAGTGGCGACAGCTTTGCAGATCGCAGTCTCCCAGGGTTGGCCATGTAGAAAGCAAGCTGGCACGCAGAAAGGAGCGAGCTGGGAGGCAGGAGAGACGGGGAGAGGAGGCCAGAGGCGGAAGGAGGCGGGAGACGTGCGGGCAGTGCTCTATTCAAAACGGGTACCCAACGCAGGAGGGTTGGGACAAAATAAACGAAGTTGCACTGGGCACGGTCTCTCTCACCTTTGCTGCTATTACGGTGCTTTACTGGGTAATCCCTATTTCAACACCTTCCCACTGCACGTTCCCTCTTCTTCTGTTCTGCTCCTCTGCCTCCCCCTTCCGCATGTCCTTCCCCGATGATTTTGCCTAGGAGGCGTGATGGGGCGAATCAACGAAGAGCTAGAGGAACTCTGATCGTCGAGGAGAGCGAGTACACATCTGGAACACGCGCGCACTCATATACTCAATATGCGTATAATCGCGTCCAGGTGCACATGTTACACATCGGCTGCAACGATTGTAATAGTGAGTGTATGCGGGTGTGCGGTCCGACGCTGCTTTGGTACTCGCAGCCCGCGGATCTGGAAACTACCAAGACTTCCACCTTTCGCGACATTGGTGGCTTACGCTTCGGCCGACTGGATTTCCCAAGCTTTGCCGCCCTGGGCCGCTCTTGCGCGTGGGCTTACCGCTAAATCTTGCCTCCACAAGCCGCTCTGCTGGATGGTCACCCAGTTCCCCTGCAGCTGGCAACTCCCCCATTCCCCCGCTCGACTTCCTCTTTTTGAACCGCCGGTATGGCGTCAGCTTGGACCTTCCGTGTCCTCTCTTGCTGCTGTTGTTACCTCCCCTCGCTCGTGGCGATTGGGTTCGGCGCTTTTTCGTGGGAGCGCGAACCGTGCCTCTTCCCCGATTCCAACTCTGCGGTCTAGCTCGCTCCCGAGAGTACATGGAGTTCGGATCGTCCCGTGTTCGCTCGTGGCTGGCCCAGCATGCCCCAGACCTACAGTGGTCTTCCTCGCCACCAAAAAATGTAGATAGCAATGGGCAGTCCTACACGATGCGTGTGTGTGTGTGTGTGTGTTGGTGTGTGTGCTGGTGCGTAAGTGTTGGCGTGTGTGGTGTGGTGTGGTGTGGTGTGGTCTGGTGTGGTGTGGTGTGTGTGTGTGCTTGCGCATGTGCGTGTGCGTGTGCGTGCGTGTGCATGTGCGCGTGCGTGTGCGTGTGCGTGTGCGTGTGCGCGTGCGCGTGCGCGTGCGCGCGTGTGTGTGCGTGTGTGTGTGTGTGTGCATGTGCGTGTACGTGTGCGTGTGCGTGTGCAAGTGCGCGTGCGTGTGCGTGCGCGTGTGTGTGAGAGAGAGAATGTGTGCGTGTGCGTGTGCGTGTGCGTGTGCGTGTGCGTGTGTGTGTGTGTGTGTGTGTGTGACTGCGACTGTGTCTGTGTCTGTGTCTGTGTCTGTGTCCGTCTCCGTGTCTGTGTCTGTGTCTGTGTCTATGTCCGTGTCCGTGTCTTAGTCTGAATATGTGTCTGTGCCCGTGTCCGTGTCTGAGTCTGAGTCTGTGTCTGTGTCTGTGTGTGTCTCTATGTGTGTGCGAGCGGTGTGTGTGTGTGTGTGTGTGTCTGCTCGTTGTCGTCATTGGCCCCAAGCCGCCGTGGGGCAGCCTCACTGGTGCACTTTTCTCCTCGCTGTCCATGCCCGGGCCACTTATGCCGCTATCCTTTCGTGCGGCTATGGCGAATCCTTCCCATGGTCCCGCGCTGTCTCCTCCTGCCATCCACGCCAGGATGTTTGATGCCGGTACGTTGCATCCTATAAGCGATGTTGAGGGCCCGGCCGCCGCGCGCGTTTCGCTGTCTGTCACACTTTCTCCGCCTCGTCGCAGCGCGCGAAGCCGCGATCGCCAAAATTTGTACGTGAGGCCTGTGTGTGCGCATGTATGTGCGCATGTGTGTGCGTGTGATTTGCGCGCGTGTGTGTCTTTATACGTGTATGTTTGTATGCAGTATGTGTTTGTGTGTAGCGTGGTTTGTTGTGGGCGTGAGCGTGGCATGTGGTGTGTGTGTGTGTCTGTGTGTTGTGTGCGCGTGTATACCCGTGTTTCCCCCCAACCAGATTGTCCGCGTTTGTGGCAACCACAGCGCCGCAAGAGAAACAAGTGTGTGTGTGTGTGTGTGTGTGTGTGTGCGTGCGTGCGTGCGTGTGTGTGTGTGTGTGTGCGCATGTGTGCGCGCGGGGGCAATACTAAGTGCCTCTTGCTCGCACTCGCGACGGTGCCGTCAGCTCGCCAGAGGGAGGAGCAATCATGTGTGTCACCCGAAGAGGACCGCCAGCAGCCCAGAGGGGTCCTGCTGGCGGCACGCGGACACGGCCTCCAGCCCCCACAACTCGAAGAATGACCTCGTGGGCCAGCGGAGCGTCGCGCAGGCGCTCCGTGGAGCCCCCCGTGAGCGGGGTGTCACTCCAACGCGAGAGGCGCCCTGAGTCCAGGCACACGGCAGTGGCTCGCCGGGACTCGCCAGGAGCACGAGACCTGCTCCCAGGCCAGACACGGGGGACGGGATGGGCTGGTGGCAAAGGGGGGCCACGGGGGACATTCAGCGATTCCGACGCATGGGCCCCGGCGGCAGGGAGTCGGCCCGAGGCCCCGCACAATCACCCCAAGCGCCCCAAGGGGCGAGAAGGAAGGGGAGTAGAGCACTCTCACGGTCACGCCAACTGCCCTGTGTCGCCAAGCATCCCCTGCCTTTTGCTGATCCTCTCTCTGCCTCTGTCTCTCTCTCTCTCTCTCTCACCTTGTTATTATGATCCTCCTCTCTCCTATCTACCCGCCCCCTCCTCCCAGGAGCGCCGGAGACGTATATACCTCGCCCCTTGGAGGGTTCCCCTTTGCCCTTTGCGTCCTTCGTGATTTCCCACTTCATTTCGGCAGCCTCTTGTTTGATCACCCCCACGCCCCCGCAGGGGCAGCGGCCCCCAGGGGGGGGGATGGCAGCGTCCGACCCAGGACTCCGATGCCAGCAGCCCGAGCCAAGG